TAAAGTCCTAGGTCTCTCAGTTCCCCCTCAAGCCTCTCCCCCCTCTCCCCCCGACGCCACCACAAGGAGCAGGGGGAGAACATCTGTCCTAGCGTGTCCCTGTAGCGAGAGCTCATCTTGTAGTAGACCAGGGCGTTGATGCTGGAGTTGACCGTCTCCGCCAGCATGCCCAGGCTCGCACACAGCCAGTTCAGGTTGGCGTAACGGCCGATGATGTTGACCTCGGGCTCGATGGACCGCGCCAGGGAGATGGCGCTGATAGGCGTGCTGCAGAGGATGAAGATTCCGGCGATGATGACGATCATGACTACCACTCTCCTGTCTTTGGAGGAGATCTCGCCGGAAGTGAGAGAGGACCCCGGGGCCGCCGTCTTCCGCCGCCATTTTGCTTTGCTTTTCAGTTTGGCCGCGGTGATGAGGGTGCAGAAGAGGACGATGATGAACGCGATAAGAGGAACGACGAAGTCGGAGAGAAAGAGCCATTTGGAGAGGGTTTCTTTGCTGTCAGAAGTGAAGGTAATCCCCAGAAGAGTTCTGTTCCTCGCGGGGTAAAACTTCCAGCAGAAATAGGTCGTGGTGTAGAGGGGTATCATTGTTAGCGTCATAAAGACGTATACGCCCACATTAAAAACAAAGGAAACCTTGCGGGTGATGAGACTCTTCACTTTAAACGGTAACACCACGCACAGACAGCGCTCAAACGTGACAAAAGCTGTGATCCAGGCGGTTGACTTGACGAAATACCGGTGAGGGTACCCCGCTGTCAAACTCTGGACCTCCGTGGAGCTGAAGGGAATGTCCAAGTCCTGAAACCAGGGGTTTACACAGATGATGAACCACTGCTGAGTGACCAGAGCCCCGAGGTCGCCGATGGCCATCGCGAACAGACTAACGTTGACGGTGTCTTTGAACCCGTGCCTCTTGAAGATGATCATGTTGAAAATGTTGGCGCCGATACCAAACACGCAGACGACCTGGCTGAGGACGACCAGGTTGACCACCACAAACGCGCGTGCTAGTTCCGCGCTGACGAGACCTCCCTGCTCCGGCAGTGACATAGCGAGACTGTAGCGTAGATCTTAGCAGATTTGCAGAATTCAGTAGATTCGCAGAATCCAGAAGATTCACAGAATTCAGTAGTTTCGCAGACTTTTAGTTCCGCGGAATTCAGTAGTTTTGCAGAATTCGGCAGTCTTGCAGAATTTAGTAGTTTAGCAGAATTTAGGTTTCTCAGAACTCCAGTTTCACAGAACTTAAGTCTCTCAGAACGTAGGTTTTGTCAGAACCCTAGTTTCCCAGGGCTTTAGTTTCGCAGAATTTTAATTTCACAAACTAACAGCGTTGGTTGGTCTACGGTTTATGAATTTGATATCTTCAATACTGTGTCAAATCTTGGCAAATTTTGGCGTTACAGACAAACTCTTTCGAAAACAAGTCTCTGTTTTATTCCTCAATCTCCAGTGGGTTTTCTTTCTTTAAAAGAAAAACAATAATATATTTGGAAAGCGTACAATTGTTTTTTTCACGGACCAAAGCAGGAGTTGACTAGAGATAGCCACCAAAAACCACACATACAGATAGATTTTGTTTTACAACGCCTACTAAGCCCTAATATTTTCCATCCCTCTGCAGCTTTTCTCCTTCACTTTAAAGTCTGGGAAAGGCATTCCAACTTAATGCCTCTTTTCGTCTAAAAGAAATAGGGAATTATTTACGTAGCTCCATCTTTTATATGTGATATAATTAGAACAGCCACGATGTAATTTGGACAAAGTAAAGTAAGACGTTTATTGATTTATCGCAATCTACAGAGTCGAGAGGGAACAAACGGACAATTATAACTGTTGGGTAATTCTCTTAATACCAGTACTTTGTGAATAATGATTCTAGGTCTTCATTCTCGTTTTAGAGTCTCTGACTGATAAGACCTATTGACCTCATTACATCGCGATCCCGAGTTTCGTGTGTCATTTAATTCACTTGTACGACCTTTCTTCCATTCAGAGACTATGATTAGGGATAATTTTCTCACATTTGTTGACAGAGATTCGTGAGACATGAACTTCTCATCTTGTTAGCCGTTGATGGCAAGATACATAGGTGGCCAAAGTTTCCTTTTTGATGGAGATAGATAGATCGATAGATAGATAGATAGATAGATAGATAGATAGATAGATAGATAGATAGATAGAT